GCCAGCGAATCGCCTGAGACATCCTCCAAATCTGCTCCGAAAGCGAAACATGTTGGAAGAGAAAATGGCAAACCGCTTGAAACATCCCTACCACATCCCGCGAAAAGGGGGCCGAGTGAAATACCCCCCCGCCGCTCCCCTTAGAGTGCTAAAACCAGCGAGTCGCTTGAGACATCCTCCAAATCTGTTCCGAAAGCGGAACATGTTGGAAGAGAAAATGGCCAAACCGCCTGAGACATCCCCACACAAATCCCGCGAAAGGGGCCGAGTGAAATACCACCCCGCCGCTCCCCTTAGGAGTGCTGAAACCAGCGAATCGCCTGAAACATCCTCCAAATCTGCTCCGAAAGCGGAACATGTTGGAAGAGAAAATGGCCAAACCGCCTGAGACATCCCCACAAAATCTGCGAAAGGGGCCGAGGGAAATACTCCCCGCCGCTCCCCTTAGGAGTGCTGAAGCCACAGAATCGCCTGACACATCCTCAACATCAGTGTGTGTGTGTGAGTCATCCGATGAGTGGACCAGAGTGGGTGTAGTGAACGTATGAGTACAAGTACGAGTGCGTCTGAGTGGTGACTGAGTCTGAGTGATGAGTGAGTCTGAGTGGTGAGTGAGTTTGAGTGATGAGTGATGAATATGAATCATGATTGAGTCCGGGTGATGAGTGAACCTGAGTGATGAGTGAGTCTGACTGATGAGTGGGTCTGAGTGATGAGTGAGTCTGAGTGATGACTGAGTCTGAGTGGGTCTGAGCGAGAGGAGGTGAGGTGTTCTGTTCTCTCTCTGTTCCTCCAGCGCGGTCCGCCAATTACTCGACGCGGGGCTCCCCATATGTGCATCGCATTATCTTGGTACGTTTTTCTCTTGATATATGTCAATGACCGCCTGTGTGCGAGGGCGAACCGCTCGCTCGAGACAGCCCCACAGTCTGCAAGCATGAGTGCGACCAATAGCAAATCTAAGAGCGACTGATTCTGAGTGTGACTTAATCTGGGTGCGATTGAGCTTGGGTTTGAGTGGGAATGCGTGTGAGTAAATATGAGCGCGAGTGCGTCTGTGTGCGAGTGGGTCTGGGTATGGACGAATCTGAGTGTGAGCCAGTCTGTGATTGAGCGGATCGTAGCATGATGGGTCTGAGCATGAGTGAGTCTGGGCTTGAGTGGGTCTGAGAGTGAGAAAAAGTGTGCGCTAATGAATATGAGTGCGAGTGGGCCGAGTGTGATTGGGTATGGATGTGAGGCAGTCTGAGTGTGAGTCGGTCTGCGTTTGAACGGACCGAAGGATGATGAGTCTGAGCACGAGCGAGTCTGAGTATGAGTGGTTCTGAGCGTGAGTCTGAGTGTGCGTAAGTTTAAACATGGAGGTGAGCGAGCCGAAGTGCGAGTGAGCCTGCGTGTGACGGAGTCTGAGTATGAGTGAATATGAATGCAGAAGAGTGCAGGAGAGCGGAGAGTGAAGGACAATGAGGCGGAAGCGTTTGAGTAAAACCTGAAGTTTTGGAACATCGAACCTCGATCGCCTGGCCCTGGGTACTCGAGTTGCCCACGTCCTCCTCCTCCTCCTCCTCCTCCTCCTCCTCCTCCTCCTCCTCCTCCTCCTCCTCCTCCTCCTCCTCCTCCTCCTCCTTCCTCCTCCCCCTCCTCCTTCCTCCTCCTCCTCCTCATCATCATCCCCTTCTTGCGTCTGCCCCTACCGTGTTCATGTTGTCCTCTTTCTCCTCCTCCTCCTCCTCCTCGTCCTCTTCCTCCTCCTCCTCGCTTCCCCCCCTCTCTCCTCCTCTCTCCTCCTCCTCCTCCTCCTCCTCCTCCTCCTCCTCCTCCTCCTCCTCCCCCCATCGGCCGTTTTCCCGTCTCGTTTCCATCCTTTTCGCTCGCTCTGCGCACGCGTTTCGATCTGGTCGTGCCTCCTCCTCCTCCTTGGGGGTGCTGAAACCAACAAATCGCCTGAGACATCCTCCCAAAAATTGTTCCGAAAACGACAGATGCCCAGCATCAGAACGGCCAAACCGCCTGAAACATCCCCGCAAACTGGGAGCGAACGTCCTCCAAAGCTGCTCCGAAAGCGAAACATGTTGGAAGAGAAAACGGCCAAACCGCCTGGGACATCCCCACAAACTCCCGCGAAAGGGGCCGAGTGAAATACCCACCCGCCGCTCCCCTTCAGAGTGCTGAAGCCAGCGAATCGCCTGAGACATCCTCCAAATCTGCTCCGAAAGCGAAACATGTTGGAAGAGGACATGGCCAAACCGCCTGAGACATCCCAACAACATCCCGCGAAAGGGGCCGAATGAAATACCCCCCCCGCCGCTCCCTTCAGAGTGCTGAAGCCAGCGAATCGCCTGAGACATCCTCCAAATCTGCTCCGAAAGCGAAACATGTTGGAGGAGAAAAAAAGCAAAACCGCCTGAGACATCCCCACACAAATCCCGCGAAATGGGCCGAGGGAAATACCCCCCCGCCGCCCCCCTTAAGTGCTGAAACCAGCGAATCGCCTGAAACATCCTCTCGGACTGCTCCGAAAGCGAAACATGCTGGAAGAGAAAATGGCCAAACCGCCTGAGACATCCCCACACAAATCAGCGAAAGGGGCCGAAGGAAATACCCCCCGCCGCTCCCCTTAGGAGTGCTGAAGCCACAGCATCGCCTGACACATCCTCAACATCAGTGTGTGTGTGTGTGTGAGTCATCCGATGAGTGGAACTGAGTGAGTGTAGTGAATGTATGAGTACAAGTACGAGCGAGTCTGAGAGATGAGCGAGTCTGAGTGATGAGTGAGTCTGAGTGATGAGTAAGTCTGAGTGATGAGTGATGAAGCTGGGACATGACTGAGTCCGAGTGATGAGTGGGTCTGAGTGATGAGTGAGTCTGAGTATGTCTGAGTGATGAGTGGGTCTGAGTGGTGCGTGAGTCTGAGTGGCTGACTGAATCTGAGTGATGAGGGAGTCCGAGTGATGAATGAGTCTGAGTGGGTCTGAGTGACAGGAGGTGAGGTGGTGTTATGTTATCTCTCTGTTCCTCCGGCGCGGTCCGCCAATAATTACTCGACGCGGGGCTCCCCATATGTGCATCGCATTATCTTGGTACGTATTTCTATTGATATCTGTCAATGAGCGCCTGTGTGCGAGGGCGAACCGCTCGCTCGAGACATTCCCACAGTCTGCAAGCATGAGTGCGACCAATAGCAAATCTGAGAGCGACTGATTCTGAGTGTGAGTTAATCTGGGTGCGATTGAGCCTGGGTTTGATTGGGTATGCGTGTGAGTAAATATGAGCGCGAGTGCGTCTGTGTGCGAGTGGGTCTGAGTATGGACGAATCTGAGTGTGAGCCAGTCTGTGATTGAGCGGATCGTAGCATGATGAGTCTGAGCATGAGTGAGTCTGGGCTTGAGTGGGTCTGAGTGTGAGAAAAAGTGTGTGATAATGAATCTGAGTGCGAGTGAGCCGAGTGTGATTGGGTATGGATGTGAGGCAGTCTGAGTGTGAGTCGGTCTGCGTTTGAGCGGACCGAAGGATGATGAGTCTGAGCAGGAGCGAGTCTGAGTATGAGTGGTTCTGAGCGTGAGTCTGAGTGTGAATAAGTTTAAGTATGGATATGAGCGAGTCTAAGTGCGAGTGAGCCTGCGTGTGACTGAGTCTGAGTATGAGTGAGTATGAATGCAGAAGAGTGAAGGAGAGCGGAGAGCGAAGGAGAGTGAGGCGGAAGCGTTTGAGTAAAACCTAAAGCTTTGGAACATCGAACCTCGATCGTCTGGCCCTGGCTACTCGAGTTGCCCACGTCCTCCTCCTCCTCCTCCTCCTCCTCCTCCTCATCATCATCATCCTCCCCTTCCTGCTTCTGCTCCTACCGTGTTCATGCTGTCCTCCTTCTCCTCCTCCTCCTCCTCCTCGTCCTCTTCCTCCTCCTCCTCGCTTCCTCCTTCTCTTCCTCCTCCTCCTCCTCCTCCCTCCTCCTCCTCCTCCTCCTCCTCCTTGGGAGTGCTGAAACCAGCAAATCGCCTGAGACATCCTCCCACAACTGCTCCGAAAACGACAGATGCCCAGCATCATAACGGCCAAACCGCCTGAGACATCCCCGCAAACTGGGCGCGAACGTCCTCCAAATCTGTTCCGAAAGCGAAACATGTTGGAAGAGAAAACGGCCAAACCGCCTGAGACATCCCCACACAATCCCGCGAAAGGGGCCGAGTGAAATACCCCCCCGCGGCTCCCCTTAGAGTGCTGAAACCAGCGAATCGCCTGTCATCCTCCAAATCGGCTCCGAAAGCGAAACATGCTGGCAGAGAAAATGGCCAAACCGCCTGAGACATCCCCACAACATCCCGCGAAAGGGGCCGAGGGAAATAGCCCCCCGCCGCTCCCCTTAGAGTGCTGAAGCCAGCGAATCGCCTGAGACGTCCCCCAAATCTGCTCCGAAAGCGAAACATGTCGGAAGACAAATTTGCTAAACCGCCTGAGACATCCCTACAAAATCCAGCGAAAGGGGCCGAGTGACATCCCCCCACCGCCGCTCCCCTTAGGAGTGCTGAAACCAGCGAATCGCCTGAGACATCCTCCAAATCTGTTCCGAAAACGAAACATGTTGGCAGAGAAAATGGCCAAACCGCCTGAGACATCCCCACAAAATCCTGCGAAAGGGGCCGAGGGAAATACCCCCCCGCCGCTCCCCTTAGGAGTGCTGAAGCCACAGAATCGCCTGACACATCCTCAACATCAGTGTGTGTGTGTGTGATTCATCCGATGAGTGGACATAGGTGAGTGTAGTGAATGTATGAGTACAAGTACGAGTGAGTCTGAGTGATGAGTGAGTCTGAATGATGGGTGAGTCTGGGTGATGAGTGAGTCGGAGAGATCAGTCTGAGTCATGCCTGAGTCCGAGTGATGAGTGAGTCTGAGTGGTGAGTGAGTCTGAGTGATGAGTGGGTCTGAGTGATGAGTGAGTCTGAGTGACTGAGTGAATCTGAGTGATGAGTGAGTTGGCGTGATGAGCGAGTCTGAGTGGGTCTGGGTGAGAGGAGTGGTGTGTTCTCGTCTGTGTTCTCCTCCGGCGCGGTCCGCCAATAACAAGAATCCCATACATAGGATACGGGGAACAAGAACCCCATCTCTTTGGATATGGGGAATAACAAGAACCCCATCTCTTTGGATATGGGGAAAAACAGGCGACGAGAAGGGGAAACGGCGACGAGCAAACAACACACGCGTTCCGCAATTACTGGGTCACCCAAACTCATCCTGCATCCGAAGTCTGTCAGCACCAGCGCCGAAGCGCCAGCGCCGCGGTCGGGAGTCAACGCGCGTAAAACGCGTCTGCAGCGCAAGTCACTATGAGCAGGACGTAGCACTCAATATCTGTCAGAACAAAAATTGGCGTCCGAACCACAACTGAAACGGCTGGTCGTTTATCCGCCTCGCTTCGTATATCTTGCTCCGTATGTGTTCGCAAAGTTTGCGCGACGCCAAGAGAGGTGATGGCGGTGTAATCCTTTGTCTGCGCTTCGTGTATCTTGCGCGGCGTAAGCGAGAGCACCGGCAGCGATAGACTCGCGTCGGCAAACGAGTCGACAGCGGTAGACTCTTCTCTGCCTCCACTTCGTACAAGAATGGCGGGCGAATCGTCCCGCCCCTTCCCCGTGACACCCCTTACAAGGAGGATATCATGCACGGCGGCGGCGAACGCTCCTGTGCGCGGCTTTCGTCACAAATGCCCTCTTGGCCCCTGTCCCCAAGATGTCGCCTGAGGTCATTCGAGCAGCACCACGCGAATGCTGTTCGGATGGCGCGCTCCGCAGGATCGCTCAGCTCTGGGGGGATCGCCTGGAAGATCACGTACAGTGTCAGACCGACGAAGACGCCAATGTAGACGGCGATTAGTAAAGTTTCTCCAATCTCGGCGCGGTGTCGATCATGCGGTACGTCTTCCGCGTAGGCAGTGTCTGATGGGACGACCTGACAGCTAAACATTAATATCAGCGCCTGTGTGGCCAGCAACTGCGCGCGGTTGTCACACTCTCGCTCGTACGGCTTGCAAAACGCTAAAACTACGGCGTAGCAACAGGCAGTGAATATGGAAAAGAATATGTAGCCAGTCGCAGTCTCGCCAGCGACAAGAGCAACGCTTGCGAGAAGCATTTGTCGATACATTGTAACACATTCAAACCACCAGTAATCAGCCGTATACTGCCCGTAGAGGGCACTCCAAGACCTGCCTGTTTCTTTCATAGCTAGCTCATTCCAAGTTTCGCCATCGTCTGAACTGGCAACCAGCCGCTTCTGCCGTGCTCGTTTGACTCCGCGCCACATAAATGCCACGTAGGATGCAGGTACGCCGATTGAAATTACCACGAATGATGACATGGCCAAAGGTCGTACCACATGTGCGTATGACCAAGTAGTAAGACTGATACGGTAATCAAGGCGCAAATAACAGTCTCCTCCATTGTATGCCTCGAGGGTGCAATCGAATGCACCTCCCTTGATCGGCATATGTGACACGATAGCCAATGTCAGCGGCGTGTATGACAAATACGTGAGCCAAAAATACGGGGTAACTAATCGTCCCCCAATCCCGTGCCCATCACTGTATTCTCTAATCCGCCGACCCCTTGTGGGTCTCTAGGCGTGTGAGATACGGTAGAGGGAAACAATTAGTGAACACCCCCCCTGCCCCCAAAACTCAAAGTTGGCACGCGGGGGGGAGACTGCGGTCGAGGTGCAACTCATTAGACCCACCGCCAACTTTGAACATTGGGGGAAGGGGGAGGCGTTCACAGATGAATGTGGGATGGGTATTCGCTAATTTTTTCCGAGGCCTGTAGTTCCCCCCCCATAATCCCCCCCCCAGGGACCCCAAACCGGAGATTCGACCCCCCCCCCCCCGGGCCGACTCCGAGCGCACCACGGAGCTTTGGCCCACAAGGGGCTCAAGACGGGCCCAGAAGGCTCCAAGAGGCCTCCAAGACGGCCCACGAGGGCCCCGAGACGCCAAACGAGCGCTCCAAGACGCCCAAGATGGCCCCAAGACGAGCTAAGAGGCATCCGAGACGGCCCAAGAGGCCTCCAAGAGCAGTCCTCAGAAGGCCCGACGAGCTGAAAATCGTCAAAATCCTATGGGGAAGTGTACATTTTGAGCATATACGACTTGTCGGCCTCCACGGCGTTGAAGATGGTCCAAAAGCACCCCAAGACCGCCCCAAGACGCCCAAGGAGGCCCCCCAAAGGCGCTCCAGTCGGCCCAAGAAGGCGCCAAGACGCCCCAAGAGGCCCTCAAGACGGCCCAAGAGGGCCCCAAGACGGCCCCAAGAGGGGCCCAAGAGGAGGAGCCCGAACCGACAATCCGAGCCTTCCGCCCCAAGTCGGCCGCAGAAGGCCCCAAGAGGCCCCAAGAGGCCCCCAAGAAGCCCCCAAAGGCCCCAAAACGGTCCCAAAACGGCCCCCAAGAGGCTTCGAAACTGTTTCCAAGAGTCCCGCGAGAAGCCCCCCAAGAGACCCCAGCGGTCACCGCACAAACCTCATACCAACAACCCAGGCAAGACGGCGGCATTGTGCTTACACACTACATCAAACGAAGTTGCGCTTCCGAGGACACGATTGCTCCAAGACGGCCCAGGATGGCTCCCAAACGGCCCAAGGTGGCTCCCAGACAGCTCAAGATAGTTCCAACATGGCCCAAGATGGCCTCACGATGGCCTCAAAAGGCCCTCAATATCGCCCACGAAGTCTCCAAGATGACCCTCAGGAGATCTGAAAAAAAGGGCGCACATTACGCAGTTCATTCCATTCCCATCGCGTTTTTGAACATGTTTGCAATCGTTGCCTTTCCCGGCCTCCGTCGGCTCACGGCGCCTACAGAGCCTCCAAGATCGCCCCACGGCGCTCCAAGAGGGCCCCAAGACGGCCCCCGAGGATCCCAACATGGCTCAGGACGCCTCCCAACTCGGCCTACGTCGACCCCACGACGGCAAAACCTGGTTCCAAATTCGCCCCAAGCTGGTGCAAGACGCCTCTAACCCATAACTCTTCACCCGGAGTCTTGTGTTTGCGTTCCCCTCCTCCCTTTCCTCCTCCTTTTCCACCTCGGCCGCCACATGGGTTCAAAACTGCATTCCAGAGGCCCCCCAAAGGCGTGCCCAGAGCTTCGTTTCTGCGTCCCCGTCCTCCTCCCCCTCCCCTTCCTCAGCCTCCACCTCCTCCTCCCCTACTCATCCTCTTCCCCCCCCCGCCTCATCCTCATCCTCCATGATTCTTCCCCCCCCATCCTCCGCCTTACCGCCCATCCCTCTCTCCCCCTCCCCCTTTCCCTCCCCAGCACGCGCGCCCGATTGGGCATCATTTGCAAGTCTTGCATTTCAGGGTGTTTTTTTCTTGCGTCGCGCGCGACATGGGCAGGGTTCGCGGCAGCGTGCCGCGTCGTCACCCTCTGCTTTCGTTGCCCACCCTCTGCACGTTGTGCACCATTTTTCGCTCGCGTTTTTCATTTCCTCCGTGCACACTTTGCAGAACGCCAGCCTTGTCTTTCTCTGGAACTCGTCCTTCGCGAACGCCTCTACCAACAACCTCCGCCGGCAGCGCTCGCACTGGTCTCGTGGCATTAATTCCGCGCCCCACTCATCCCAATCCACTTTATTCCCGCGAAGCACCTGCAACAATTTCTGCGCGCCTGGCATCTCTCCCGCGTTGTACTGCATCCTGTCGAAAGGGCCTGAAAACCAACAAGTGATCCCGCCTCCGCAAGCGCGTGATGGCAACGTAACTCGACATCCAACTCACGCCGCGCCCTCTTCCAAGGTCCGCTATCACTGCGGCCATGGTTCGAACGTGGATGCTATTGGCAATGATAATGCTAATTCTAATGCTACTACGACGGCGAATGCTAATGCGAATGCAGATTCTTATGCTGATGATAATGCGAATGCTAGTATTACTACCCATGCCAATGCTCATGCCAATGCTCATGCCAATGCTCATGCCAATGCTAATGCCAAGGCAAATGCCAATGCCAATACCAATGCCAGTGCCAATGCCAATGCAAGTGCTAATGCTCATGCGAATCATAATGCTAATGCTGATGCTAATGCTGATACTGATGCTACTGATAAAACTATGGCTGTTATCAAGTCGTCGCCACGGCTGGATCCGCCTCGAAAAACAAGTCAGGATGGTGCCCCGGAGAGCTCCACAGACCGTCTTCTTGCGCAGTGGAGGTCCTGTCTACGGATGGCCATCAAGGGACCTGGCCCTGAGGAGGCCAAGCACAGCCTCGAATCACAGGGAGAACAGAAGACAGCGGAGAGGGAGAGGGGTAACAGAATGAAGGGGTGCCTTGCAAAGAGTCCTCACCCTTACGTGTGACTTCCACCGTGGGGAGCCGGAGAGGCACGCCCTTGGTCTTGTGCTCGGGAGCCTCGGTTTCGCGCTGGCGCGCTAGCCCCTGCCGATGTCTTGCATGCGCGCATGCTTCTCAAACCCGCGGAGCTGTCCGATCTAGGGTCTGTCGAAAAGAAAGTCTGCCCCAAAGGATCTACGACGACAAGTAATAATGATAACAATAGAGATAGCAATAGTAAAAGCAATCATAGTAGAAAAAAATCACAACGATAATGCTACCACTAGTGATAGTGATAGCACGAAGAGTAATAATGACGAAACTAATCAACATAAAAAAGCGAATGAAAACGACAAATAATGATAATAATGCAAATAATGATGGCAAGTATAGTAGTGAGAATAATATTAATAGGAATAACAGCAGCAACCTAATGTAATACGAATAAAGAAAAACTATACCTAATACAAATAATAGTGCAAGTAAAATGAAGTCTAGTAATACTAATCATACTAACAGCGATAATAATACATATTCCTGACAGTTGTAATTCTGATAATCATAATAATAACAATGGCGATGCGCATTGTAAGAATCAACATAATGGCAATACTAAGCATAAAAAGAGTGCTAGTAAGAAACGGTACTGAACAAATCGTAACGATGATATTAATAATAAAGGTAATGCTGATCGTACTAAAAACAAAAGTAGTACAAATAATAACAATACAAATGCTAGTCATGTTCTAGTAAAAAGTCAGACTGGCAATTCCAATCACAATCATACTGGTAATATTCATGGTAACAATGGTAAGCAACATAGTATCATGGTAAAACTAAGAGCAATAGCAAACTAGTGGTGTTGCAAGAAGACAACTAGTCATAATCATTGTGAAAACAATTACTATTAATAGTGGTACTAATGTGCAATAATGACAATAAAGAATACTACTACCACTGGTACTGACTACTAATACTAATAACAATACTCATAATCATGATAATACTAAAACCTGATAGTCATAATGAGAATGCTACCAATAATAAACATGATAATAGTAAGACGAACGATAAGGACGATAATGAAACTAGTAGTAATTATAATACGAATGATAAAGATGAGCATACTACTATACATAAAAATAGTAACTATAATAAAAAGACCTATAAAACTACTGACAGTAAAAATAAATATGGATGATGCTTTACCGAGAATAATAATACTGGTACTCATACGAATAATACACCTATTAAATAGCAATGGTAATACGCGATACAAATAATATTCGAACCAAATTGCAATAGCAATAGTAAAATAAAAACTCCCTAAAACAAAGAACGATAACATTAATACTAATCATACTAATGGTCGCAGTAGAAATTGAAAAAAAAAAAAAAACAAAAAAAAAAAAAAAATGTACTGATGTTTGTAAAATCCCTACTGATGATATCAACGGTAATGGGAACACCAATAATAAAAATAATAAACATACTGGTAACAATGATACGCATGCTGATAGTAATAATAGCAATACTGATAATAGAAACTACAATAGTAATAAGAAGAGTAACGACTCAAGTGATAAAGCTAGTCCTAAATTAACAAATAGTTGTAATAATAGTAATGCCACGAATTAAAATAACCATCATACGAATGATAACTGTAATACGGAAAATCGTAGTTGTAATGATGAAAGTGATAGCAACAATAAATGATACACTAATAATATTAATAGGAATCATAATAAGTATAATCTCAGATAGTAGTAATCCCACCAGCCCTCTGGGCGGCCGGTGGCTTAGAGGCATCAACTTCTCCCTGGGGAGGGGTTCGCCCCTCCCCCCCCTTCCCCGGGGTCCCAAAATGGGCGGCCATAACGGTGTCAACCCCTCCAAGATCGCTTCTAAGACCGAACATGCCGATATGCATAATCGATAGTAAAATACAATGGATTTGGTCACTTCTGGGTTTCAAAAGTGGCTATTTTGGGGTGGCTGAAATTGCGCCTCGGTCGCCTGTGTACCGAATTGCTCTTGAAGACGCCTTTTTCGGTCCCGAAAACGTTCCCTAGAGGCCCCCGGACGGGCCCGGAAGCCTCCAAGAGGGGTCCAAGAGGCCGCTCAGACGGCCCAAGACGGGTCCAAGACGGCTCCAAACGGGCCCAAGACGGCCCAAGACGGCCCAAGGCGGCTCCAAGACGGCCCCAAGACGGCCCCAGACGCCCCCAGGACGGCCCAGGACGCGCCCGGACAACCCCAGGGCG